CACAGCAACCTCCAACTCCTGGGCTCAAGCGAGTCTCCTGCCTCAGCCTCCCAAGTAGCTGGGACCACAGGTGCCTGCCACAACGCCTGCCTATTTTTTTTGGTTGCAGCCATCATTGTTGTTTGGTGGGCCCGGGCTGGATTCGAACCCGCCACCTTGGGTGTATGTGGCTGGTACCTTAGCCACTTGAGCCACAGAGCCTCAATAGGTGTTTCTTTACAATTACCTCAAAAATTCTTTATGGAATAAGAATTGCTAATGAGAATATGAAACATGTTATAATAAAATATATATTTTTTGAATGCAGGATTTCCTTTAGAGAGGCTAAAAATCTTTCTGCTCTAGTTCTGCTGTATCGCTCAAAAATCTTCATTCTTTAAATCTCAATACACTGGTATACAAAAATGACAGGTAGGGAAAGAATTTAACAGAAATCTATACTCAAGATATCCTTAAACTCATTCCACAGCTCAAGTAGGGCTTAGAACAAAATAGTTTATGCAAGAGACAATCAGATGATGTCCACAAAGAAATAGGAAGTAAGGGGGAAATCAGGGAACATTCTGGAGCTTAAACTACGAATTCAGTATGGATGATTTCAGCCTTCTTGAAGGATTCAAGAGAGTTTAAAAAATATCCCACATTCTTGGGCAGTGCCTATGGCTCAAAGGAGTAGGGCGTCAGCCCCATATACCAGAGGTGGTGGGTTCAAACCCAGCCCCGGCCCAAAACTGCCAAAAAAAAAAAAAAAAAAACCAGCAAAAAAACTAAAAAAACCCCATAGTCTATCCAAAATGGTTTGTTCTTATTTCTTAGCAATAAGAAAGTATAAAGTAACTATAAACTACTAAGTTTAAATCTAATCAACTGTCTTATAACGTCTTTGGGGAAAAAAAGAGTCAACATGAAGTTTAAAATGAAGAAGCTCAAAGAATAGGAAGTTTTAAAGGCTTTCTAGGATTTCTAAAAAGAGAAAGATTATAGATTGCTTTCTAGTTTAATTAGAAGTTTTACTGACAGCTTTATATCTTTTTTTTTTTTTTTTTGGAGACAGAGCCTCAAGCTGTCCCCCTGGGTAGAGTGCTATGGCATCACAGCTCACAGCAACCTCCAACTCCTGGGCTCAGGTGAGTCTCCTGCCTCAGCCTCCCAAGTAGCTGGGACCACAGGCACCTGTCACAATGCCCGGCTATTTTTTGGTTGTAGCCATCATTGTTGTTTGGCGGGCCTGGGCTGGATTTGAACCCACCATCTTAGGTGTATGTGTCTGGTGCCTTAGCCACTTGAGCCACAGGCGCCAAGCCAACAGTTTTCTATCTTATAAATTAATAAACTGGTATTGTGGTTTACAGATTACTCTCTTATGAGATGGTTAAAACAAACCAGTCTCTTTGAATGTGACTAAGGCAAGCTTACAAGATCCAAACTCTGGACTTGAGAACTAAGGAACAAAACATCAACCAGAGTAAGTACCTAACAGTAAGACTCTACTCGAGAGATCAGGTGGATTCCCTAGATATGCATCACTGTTTTATCACTTGTCTCACTTCAAAAGATTCATAGTAAGATACCATGTTAAATAAAAATAAAATATTATTGAATTATAACTGTTATAAGAAATTCCTTCCATGGTATACATATACCACAGCTTACCAATTCCTTCCAATTACCATCAATAAGGGCTGAGAAAAAGGAATTAGTTCTCATTAAGATAAACTCTTACCTTCCAAACTGGTTCTCCAGTGCTATTTTTAACATGAGGCACATTGAAATTTAACATACGTTTCAAAGCCACTGAAAATAAAAAAAAAAAAGTTTTTATTAAATATTACCTTTTTTAGAATTTTCTTTTTCCTCACATTTATTATTTATGACACCCCCTCAACTGTGCAAATCAACTCCAGTAAAACTGGTTAGTCAAATGACTGGATATGTAGAACTAGGGGTCAGATCTTGTAAGACCATTTCATCACTAGCTAATTGGCATTTATCTAGAGATTTCCATCCCTTGATGAAACTGTGGAAAATATAGAGGAAGAAGCTTTTCTCATTTCTCCTAACAATACCACACTACGTTTTATATAGCTGCAAGAAGAAATTTCTCCAATCGTGAACTTGGAATGCCTCAATAAGTAACTGATGCTATTGTCTATTCATTGGCTGAAGACAGATTTAAGATCTGCCTTTCTAAAAACAAAATTATCTGACATAATCACAGGAGTTATAAGCAGTAGTTAGGTGATTTAACTTTTAAAAGATTGGCAGTCAAATCTTTTAAACAACAGCCATCTACGTTGTTACAAAACATAAGAAATCTCCATCTTTTCAAACAGCTGAATAGTATACATACATCACAATTTATTTATCCATTCATGGCATCACATGTACTAAATTGGAACTAGTAGATTACATATTCACATGAGAGAAAAACTCAATTAAATTCAAGTAGGGGAGAGAGTGGGAAGGGGTTGGATCAATTCCTATTCTGTGGGTACATTGCACGGATGTATTGCACACTTCCTGAGTGAAGGGCACAACTGTAACTCAGATTTTAACCTTATAAAAGTAAACTATGTAATCTAACTGTATGTAACCCCTACATTAATTTGAAAGAACAAAATATCTATTTAAAAAAAAGGACTGGCAATCTTTAAATCAACTTCATTTTAAAAATATTGCATCAAGCTTTATTAAGTAATGCGGAATAATTCACAATCTCAACTTTTACCAGAGACCATATAATACTGAGATCACCCCAGTACCATTTATAGCATATTCATTCACTCACTAGGAAAATTGGTACTGAATGCTTGTTTGCTGAGGTAAGTATAATGCAGTAACACCCCCATCACAAAAGAGATTGTAATTTAGAGATGTATTTGTCTACTTAATATCATTTTTGGTAAAATGTTAGTACCTAATGTCTAGACAACAATGCATATTACCAATGATTTACACCTTCTTCAGAGGCTCACGGGTGCTGCGCTGTTATGTGAAAGTACACATAAACAAAAAACACTTTAAGACTTAGAACCAAAATAACACAGGATGCATAGACTAGGGTTTTCCCCTCTAGAGTTTGCTCCAGAGTTTTCCAGGATTAACTCTCTCACTCCTCACTAACAGTTCTTCTTTCTACCTCCAGATAATAAAGACATCACCACCCTGGACTCAGAGTCTAAGAGAGAGAAAACCTTGTTTCTAAGAAAAGCTGCTCACATGTTTAGCACATGACAACTTGAACTACAACCTAGGCTGCTGTTGAGCCTCAGGTGTGAAGGTCTCCAGAGTGAAGCCTTAGCTAACAGAAAGAGGCCAGTAGCAGCAGATAACCCCACATTTGCTTTCTCAGTTCAACTGAGGGGAATTTCTCCATTTTTGAGCCTTGGCTAACTTGTTAAAAGACATTTTGATATAGTGGGAAGAACACTGCCTTTGTTCAGAGAGTGTATGAAAATGTCATTTTACTTTCATCAGAGTTTAATTCCCCAAAGCTTAAATTCTTGCTTTTAACTGAAATGACAAACTTGCTTTACTTATTTGCTCTAAACATAGTTTCAGAATCCCAAGTCCAAAAATCTGAAATCCAAAATGCTCCAAAATCTGACACTTTTTGAGTGCCAAAATGATGCTCAGATTATTGAATTTGGGATGTTCAACCAGTAATAGTGTCAATAGTCTAAAATCCAAAACATTTCTGATTCAAGCATTTTGGATAAGAGATACTCAGCCTATATTCATATTCCTAGACTTGTAATGGGGTTAACGTGGTCTCACTCTTACCTAGAATGATTTCTTCACTCATTCACTGAACAAATATTGTGAACTAATTTACTGTTTAGCTATTGTTTACCACATGCGCTCTAGTTACTGGGGATCTAGCACTGAACAAAACAGACTAAATAAAAATGACCTATTCTTAAGTAGTTTTCATTCTAGTTGAGGGAGAAAGACAATTAACAAAGAAAAAAAGATTTGGAAAAGGGAAGAGGGAGTTGCAATGTAATTTTTAAATAGATTATCAGGGAAGACCTCCCACACAGGTGATATCTGAGTAAAGACCTAAAGATGGAGAGAGAGTGAGGCATATAGACTATCTCTGAAAGAAAACTCTAGAAAGAAATACAAATACAAAGGCCCAAAGGTAGGAGCACTCCTGGTGTGTTAAGGAAAGGAGACAGTTAACAGGAGTGAGGTAACTAGGGACCAGATCACATAAAGCCTTGGCTTTTCCCATGACTGAAATGGGAAGCTGCTGGAAGGTTCTGAGCAAACATGAGATCAGTCTGAGTACCATGTGGAAAAGAATAAAAAGCAAGGAGACCAAACAGGTTATTGCTGAAATTCATGGAGAATTAGACCTGAGTGATAGCAATGATACTGGTCAGATCTTGGATATACTCAGAGTAGAACTGACACAAAATTTACTGACAAATCTGACATGAGATATGAAAGAGAGAAGACAAAAAACTTCAAGGTTTTTGACCTTAGTAACCACCAAGTATGAAGTTGTCATTAACTGATAAGGGGTAGACTAAGTTCAGATGGGAGGTCCAGACTACAGATAATAAACTTGGGAATTATCAATATATGGACAGTATTTACTTATTTTTTGGAGACAGAGTCTCGCTCAGTCACCCTGGGGGTTGAGTGACATGGTGTCATGGCTCACAGCAACCTCAAACTCTTGGGCTCAAGTGATTCTCTTGCTTCAGCCTCCTGAGTAGCTGAGACTACAGGTGCCTGCCACAACGCTGGGCTATTTTTTAGACAGAGTCTTGCTCTTGCTCAGGCTGGTCTCCAACTCTTGAGCTCAAGTAATCTGCCCCGCCTCAGCCTCCCAGAGTGCTGGGATTACAGGCATGAGTCACTGTGCCTAGCTCTATGGACAGTACTTGAAATTAAGAGGCTAGGGTAGCGCCTATGGCTCAAGGAGCAGGGCGCTGGCCCCATATACTGAAGGAGGCGGGTTCAAACCCCACCACGGCCAAAAATTGCAAAAAAAAAATAAGAGGCTAAATGAAATCACTACAGGAGAGAAAACAGTTGATCTGGGTCTCTACAATGTTGAGACACAGATAAAATTAATAAGAACTTGTAAGGAAGAGGTAACATGAAGGGCAACAGTAACAGATGGAAGCAACTGACTCTACCTCTTCAACTAAAGGTATGGATAGAGGTGGAAGTAATATGGGAAACTTTCATAAAGGAGATAACTTTTGAGATGACTTTTAAAAAATCAATAAAGTTTCTTTGGGCATGCAAAGCAAGACATAGACACATAGGCATGCTAGTTCACCTTTTTATACTTTAGTTTCCTATTCTACATATAAAATGGAAATAATACAAAATCACCTGAAATAGTACCTGACAATAGTAAATGTTCAATAAATACAAACCATTAATTATCTCATATACCCAAATTGATTGCAAATTCCTTCATATCTAGAAGATTTGAGGATTGTGACTTATGTCCCAAAACACTCTCAACAGGCATCAGAGATATTTAATTCTGCTTATATGACACATATGAAGGGATTTACCTTCCTGTTAAAATAAGACAACCGTTAACACTAATTTGATCTAGCACAATCTAGTAATGATGTAAAATCTCACTATGATGTTTATTCCTGTAGAAATACACACAGTATTAGATTTTAATATCCTACAAAGTTTCAGCATATAAAAATTTACTAACGTAAACTAATTTTTCAAAAAACTCCCTTGTATATAATTTCACTGACATGTTATTTATTTTAATATGTGGTATGAACTAATTAATTTAGCTTGATTATCAGAACCATAGCACTAAAAAAAGTGGGGTTTTCTTATTTGATTACACAGATAAAATGAATGGCAGGTATTCTCCACATCTTATTTGGACTTTCAGATATTTAAGGTATGCCTGATTCATCTGATAAGTTATATTAAATTATTTACTGGAAAAAGCAGAACATAAGAATGCTTTGTGTGCCATTATTAGATTAAAGCCTATCATTAATTTTTTCTTCAAATGCCAAAAGAAGGAAACAAGTAAAGCCCAAATTCTCTTCAGTAGGTCATATTAAGTGTCATCAATAATTTTCCTATTTAGATTTATGTTTAAAGAAGCATAATTCCAGGAGACACAATTTCCAAGTATGCACAATTTTGATGGCTTGTTTCTATTAGCTCCTCAAAATAAACAGCTGAACAACTTTAAGACAATTATTATAGCTAACAGGCATATAAACCATAGTTTCTACGTAAGGAAGTTTTCAAATAAAGCGAAACTAAAAATGCCTATTTAAAAAAACCCACCAAAACTCAAGAGAAAGAAATACGTATCTTTTTTTTTACCATATTTTGCTGTTTAGGTGGAAGCTATCTAAACATGAGCTACTGAAGATGAAACTAATAATATTATTTTAAAACAGTAATCCCAATAAAAAGGAGATAGCTATTTGTTTGGTCATTCTTCAATCCTTTCCAGTATGCTGAAGAAGGAAATCCTTATCACCAGGCAATTTTCTGCGGATATCTCCAAAAGACTGGTTTCAAGTTAAGTAAAGAGCAAAAAGTAAGGCACTCTGAAAAGAATAACTAAATTTTGCAACTGTGGTGGAAGTCCCAGTAAATGGAGTTCTTTCACCATTAAAACTGGGAGAACTGAACCACACACAGAAACCCAGAGACCTCATAGGTAGTAACACAGGAAAGAAAATACCAGCCGCCAGGTACTGTCGTGATGGCCTTCGGAGGCCCAGCAGAAAGGAGACAGGACAGGACCACGGCAACCCGCACTCCACTAAGGTCCCTTCTCACCACAGGTGAGGGGCCAAGTCCTCAAGCTAACGGCATCCCTTCCCCAGGAACTCAGAGAGGAAGGACTCTTGATGTGAGGGTGGATTAAACTCTTGGGGTCGGTCTCTGAGCTACACGCACCATGACCGAGTGAGGGCGACTAGCAGAGGAAGAGGATGTTGCCTTGGCAGGCACGAAACTGCAGGGAGAAGAGAGAAGTCGGTACCTGTCTGCCTCTCCCGAATACTGGAGGCCGCCGCCGCCGCCATCTTGACTCCCAGCATCCACCGCCCGGCCGGCGAGCCGGCCGAGGTTGACGTGGCCGCCCTTACCGCCCCGGAAGTAAAGCCGGGGGGCGGGGCCCCAGGGACCGACCCCGCCTCCTCCGGGAGGCAGTCCCACGCTCTCAGTGGTCTGTACTGTTTGCTTTTAGACAGACACCCTCTCTCAAATGCTGGCTACAATAAATGGTACTCTCCCGGTCGGAGGATGGTGTAGTGCTAAGAACCTAACTACTGAACTGTTAGGTAGGTAATCAACAAGTGATAATATTCGGGTACAAGGATCACAGGACCAAAGTAAATGAAACACCTGAACCAAAGTAGGCACTTAGTTTTCCAGTGGTGCGGGAGTCTCCCCCTGGACTTCTGTTTCAGAGAAACAGCTGGAAAAGCTTTGGGGCATTACTCTAATCTGGCAGATTCCTCAATCTCATTTCTTAGGCAAAATTGTCTTTCTTTACGGTGGTGTTTTGCCGACAGGGTGAAAGGAACCAGGAAGGTACAAAACAGCAAATTGGTATTTTTTCTCCTCTTCTTCCTTGTATTAATTGCAGAATCACAAAACACTGCGTTGGGGGGAATCGGGTAGTAGTGCTGGTATTTTAATGTTCACTTGATACCATGAGATCAAAAATTATCCGATATCGATAATTTCCCATTTAATCCATAGATTTTATTGGATGTCAAAAATGCATACACAGTGACAACTCATTTTTCCCATGTTCAACAGTTTACTGATGACATTGCATTAGCTGTTGTTTATGTTAATTCTGAAGTTGCACCAAATTCTGAAATCACTGTGCTTCAAAAACTTTCAAAATTACATAAATTATCCTTACAGTCATATATAACAAGATTGCAATCTGGCAATACACTAAATCCTCTGTATCATAAATAAAAGCTGTTTATTTTAGTGAAATTTCAAACAGGTTATCTTAACTGTTAGGAAACCATTTTAGCTATTAGGAAACGCCCTAACTATTGAGCCTACATTCTCTACCTTTAAGAATTATATCACGTCTCACTTTTATAGCTACTTGGTCTATTCATTAAGAAATTAATGGCTGGCGCGGTGGCTCACGCCTGTAATCCCAGCACTTGGGAGGCGAAGATGGTGGATTGCTTGGGCTCAGGAGTTGGAGACCAGCCTGAGCCAGAGAAACACCTCGTTTCTAAAAATAGCTGGGCGTTGTGGCAGGTGCCAGTCGTCCTAGCTACTTGGGAGGCTGAGGCAAGAAAATCGCTTAAGCCCAAGAATTTGAGGTTGCTGTGAGCTGTGATGCTACAGCACTCTACTGAGGGCCACAAAGTGAGACCCTGTCCCCCCACCCCCCAGAAGAAACAGAAAAAGAAATTAAGGGGGTGGAGAGCTGTAATCCTAACACTCTGGGAGACCAGTCTGGGGGACTGCTGTGTTCAGGAGTTTGAGACCAACCTGAGCAAGAGTCAACTAACAAATACAAAAATTAGCATCTGAAATCACAGCTACTTGGGAGGCTGAGGCAAGAGGATCCATCCCTTGAGTCTTAGAGTTCAGGATTGCTGTAGGGTAGGCTTTAGCCTAGGGCAACAACAGAGTCTTAAAAAAAAAGGGCGGGGGGAGAGAGAGAGAAATTAACCAGCCAAGTGGGGTGGCTCACTCAAGTAATCTGAACACTATGGCTGGCTGAGGCAGAAAGATCTCTTGAGGCCAGAAGTTAAGAGACCAGCCTGTGCAACATAGCTGGATGCCCACCCCTACAAAAAGTAAAAATAAATTAGATGAGTGTGGCAGAACCCCTGTCCCACCTATTTCAGTAGCTCAAGTGGGAGGATTGCTTGAACCCAGAAGGTCGAGTTTACAGTGAACTATGATTAGGCTAGGTGACAGAGCAAGACCTTGTCTCAAGAAAAGGAAAAAAAAAAAGAAAGAACAAACTAACTGCAGTATTTACTGTTTTCTTTAGTGCTATAACTAATTTTTTGAAGGAATTTTCAATGATCTAGGTATGTTCCAACTAAAAAGAAATGACAGTTCTGGCACTATGGGAGAGTTCTACTTAATTCTGTAGTCTCCATGGAATAAAAAATATCTGAGAACCCAATCTTATTCATCTGGGTATTTCCACTTTCAAATGCAAATCAAATGTAAGGCTATGAGCCATGTTAATATAAAACACTAAGATAATTTTATGATAAATTATAATTTAAGATAAATTATATGTAGTATATACACATGAAGTGATAAAAACTGTCCTGACCAAGGTGTGCACAGTGTGCAATAAATCTATAGAGAACTATACCCCACAGAAGAACAGTTAAGATAAATAATCTTTGCAAGGCTGAGAATGAGTAAGGTACTTGGTACTAGAATCAGAAAAAAAGAAATTAACCTAAGGCTTCAGAGAGCCGAGTACAATAAACTATAGTCATTTAGCTGACTCTACATTTGATTTTTGGCTTAACAAAATTTATTTTGGCAAGCTATCTTATATAGCTTCAATACAGAGCTAGAGATTGTTTGAACACAGAGCTTATATCTACAGGTTCCTAGGTGTCAGTCAACAACTGCTTATAGGATCTCTCAGATGTCAAATGTGGAGAGGAAAGGATCTCTGACATTATTCAGCTTTGTTCAGAATCTTAATTTTGTTAACTCCCAACAAGTTACTTAGTTTATGTAAGTACTTCACATTTAGTGGCATGAAATACTTAGAAAACTCCACTATAAATGTCATGCTTTTTGGTTATATCTGGCAGTCTTGAAAAAAAGGATAAATTAGGCTTACATATAAACTTTCACCTAGCATCATACCTGATATACAGTAGGTATTAGAGTATATGTAGATGTATTTAGGAAGTGGAAAAGATAACAGTCAAAATCACAACTTGAAAACTGGGTCAAGTAGAGGCAACCCAAATTTTCCTAAACTATCGATAGTACATTTTCAAGTAATCCATCAAATGTGTTCTTACGCTTTCTATTGCATGACTTGAAGCATAAAAACTAGTTTAATAACATAGGGTAAAAGTTAACCATGAACTACATGATAATTACCATATAAAAGAATTTGTTTATAATAGATCTTATTCTGAAGATTTTCTTAATGTCTGAATGCTAAAGGCACAGCACTAAGAAAACTTACCTATTATATATTCCCCTTTACTTAGCATTTAGTATTGAGTACAAAAGTTCCAACAACTAATTCTTACATCGATAATCAAATGAATGTTTTTTACCTAATCCAAACAAAAATTCATTTCCTCAAATTAGAGAAACTAAATATTAAAAGAAGTATAACATCATAAGCTGGTTTTGATGAGATATTTTAAAGAATTTTTCTTTTAAATAGTGAAACGGTAAAATGACTCAGTACAGGAATAGTAGAAACTTACATAAAAGGTCTGAAGGTAACACTCCCATACAAAAAATATTTAAATCTGCTTCAAAAACAATGAATATAAAACTAACTCAAATCATTACCAGATTCATTGTAGATCAGTTTATGGTTTTCCTTTATATTGAGCAAGAGAAACAAGCTTAAAATATATAGCATTTAGACAACTGAAATATTTAAGAAATACATACATGTAGCACACATTGATAAAGGTTTGTAGCATAATTTCTTTTAAAAACTCAATGTCAGTAAGAATTGTGCACTGACTATAAAATGAACAGAAATAGAACAATTATTACACCAACCATTTGACAAAATAACATTGTAGAAAATAAATAACCTATAAGTTTCTCTGGTATGCCTTGACTATACAAATTGATCTAAAAAAAAAAAAATCACACTAATGGAACATCCTTCAAGCCAGAAAACATTTTGCAGTATGAATATTTATGCTTCATTTTAAAACACAAGTATTCTAATTATTATTTACACCTTCTTATATTAAGGCCCTGTCTACACCTAAAATAAGTAATAGGATTTGAAATATTGTTTATAATTGTAGCTGACCCAAGCACTCTGTTCCCCCTCCCGACACTGCACCTCAAACTGTGTTGTATGTAGGTTGCTGTGAAAGTTGAGAGAGACTATGTTATGGTCCATTTCACTTCCAACAAAGTCAACAGCATCCTTTCCCATTCACTCCTGTTAAGTTCAACTTGCGTAGCTTATTGGTGTTGGAGAGCTTCACGTTTCCATCTGTGTATATTTTACTGTTCTTGATTTTTGTGTATCTTAAAAAACTTTCCTAATGACTCATGTACCAGCTTTAATTACCACACTAAGGGCTATTAATTAAAACTACAAACCAGAAAATTGCCTTAATTAGATTTTTTTGGTTTGTATTGGTTTAATAACTTTTTAAATTTTATAAAACTTAGGTAGTTTAAGAAACAAAATATCCAAATCATCAACACACTTTGTAAAAAAGCTGTATGGTGAATATGAGATTTATATTAGATAGTCAGACTTTTCTTGATAATTGATCCTTTAGAATTACTTTAGGTAGTCCAACAGAATTCAACACAAGAAATGCCTTGTTTTCAGACTGCAAGTTGAAATAAAACTTTAATTTGCTTAGTCTGTTAGTAAGTATAACTTGAAAAATATAGTATGAGGTAACAAAATTCAACTAGAATTATATTAAATTTCCTTTTGTAGTAAGAGAGATATTAGTATATCAAATCAATCCTGTTATTTTTCTCAAAAAATATCAATCATTTAGGATGTTAAAAAAAAAGCACTTAGGATGTTTCTTGGGAAAAATGAGAATGATACTAGCTGATACTTGCTTTGTATACCAAGAAAAATGTGCTTGAAACATTTTACCTCCCATAACAAATTACCTATCATAAGGATTTAACTTCAGTGGAAGACTAGGGCCTTATCTCATTTATATTTGATAAAAGATTAAAGACGACAGATCTTTTCCCAATGTTTTCTTTTTTAGGAGTGTAAACATGCAGAAATGATTTTGAGGCTATATATCTTAACATTGTTACTAAATGGTGTCTTTCTACTTTAGGTATTCTTTGACTTTTAATAGCATTAATAAAGTTAAAAAATGAA